CCACCTGGGATTCAGAAGCGACTCCCCACGTACTTTCCCTGAGTGGGATTATGAGACCCTTAAATAGAATCGCAGAATAAGCAAATGCATCCAGCAGAAGGGCCAAACGGGCCGGTTTGCTCACCTCCGTCGCAACTGCGCAGTGTTCAGCGTCTTATTGGTTAGTTCACCCATGCTGACCGATTCATGAACTACTCTTGGGTGGGAGCAGATTCGTCCCATATTTGTATAAGAGATCCGATTTGTGGCTCAATCTCCCGCAAGCTTTTGTGCGAATAAGGAATCATTCAATTACATTGCTTACTGTGAAAAAATTGTATCCACGAGGGCGCTGAGCACCTCTACACATGCATCTATTTTGATATTCAGGCACATCTGGATGCCATCGTTCCGAGCTTGTGCCCTAACTTTCCTTTCCCTCGTTAAAGCAAATTGCTCAGCTGAACGACTAGACAAGTGCAGGTACAAAAAAATTATGGGCAAGCTTAGTTCGATTTCAGCAGAATCGCCATGGAACTACCTCCATGGGACTCTTTCAAGAACTCTTAGGAGTATTTGAAATTTTATATGCCCATAGATCTTCGAGGAAAAAAACGAGTCGTTTCTGGTTCAGCAGAGGTCGATGTTGAGTGTTTATGATCGCGGCAGATGCGCATTGTTATGATTTCTTTGGTTCAAGATTTAACTTAGAATCATCACTTTCTGAAGTTCAACGGAGGGTGTTCGGCATTTGACGAGTAGGAGGTGTTGTCCCATTCTCATGTCAATGTCATCATCGAAAAAGCCCTGGCACTCCCCTCACCAGCTGTTCGATTTCATCGAGTGCTCCATCGAAAACACTGAGTCACTCAGTGCACATTTGAGTTCTGCAAACGTGCCCAGCTCTTTTTCTTCCGTTTCCTGGATTTCCTTCAATTTGACTAGCACCGCACGTTCAATTCTCCCTGATCGATTTCCCTTCTAGAACGTTTTGCTCTGATCGAGGATTTCAAGAACAATGAGCGAAAATTCCGCAGTCCCTTGGGGTGACCCCAAACGCTTTCTAAAACGAACTGGTCCCGCTTTTGCTCTGGCAAATACTCGCCACTACGATAGTCATCCAACGGACCCGGAAAACGACACCGACACTGATCAATGCATTCAGCGTCTACTTGACAATGATCCCACCCTTAAGGAGATCAATATGAACAACATGAAGGTGAGCAGCAACTGTCAACATTATACTACGACTCACAGCTCAATAGTAGCATAACTAGTACTGGTCGTTGAAGAGCAACCAGGAATCTCACTCGAGCTTCTCCTCTTCCACACGAGTTTGTTGCCGAATAAGACAGACTATGAGGAGCTGTTTTTGAGCGCAAAGAGGGCAAAGGCTCAGGTCTAAGATAATTCCATCCACGAATTAATCGAAGTGTAAAACCTTCTTGAACATGAGAAAGTAGAAAATGGGGTGTTCCTGTGGCTACAGCCCACATGTTTGTGTTCTCATCAGTTTATATTACCCGTCTTTTGAACGGTTTTTGTATTCGGAGCTCACCACCTCGCTGTTAATCGAACTTTCAAATTAAGACCTGAGAAGAAAAAAATGATCATCTATACAATTGCCATGTGGGCATAGTGTACTATTTTTCCTTTCTAGCGAACTCCAATCCCTCAACTTCGACGGTTACTGGAGGCTTTGGCTTATAACGAGCATTGTGAACGGTTATCGCTGGCCAATATGGGTCTTCACGATAATGACCTAGCCGTAGGTTGATTTTCGATTATTTCCTGAACTGCTCGTATTCGTTTAATTATGTAGACCTACGGATAGCCTTCTACATTTTTTTATCGCGGCCGTTTGTGTAGCTCTTTTTCGTTACCAGTTTTGCTTTGCTCAAATCTTGGCTCTCCTTATTCCATGGCACATGGACTCGCCTTGATTGTTGTATTGTGATACCCTGTGCATTCAAGACAAAAGCAATTCAAACTCCAGAATAGTCCATGCTTAAACTCCTTGCAATTTTAGCATGATTAGTTGAGTCAGAATGATTTTTTTTCAAGCTTCTCAAGACCGAAGTTCTTTCTTAGGCCGACGTTTCGGCAGCTTCGCCTTCGTCAAAGCCTGAAATCTTGAAATGCTCGAAGAAGAAGCATTCTGGTTTAAATTAAACTTCATTTCTCAACTACATTCGTACAGCCTCTTTTTTCATAACATGGAACCATTTGTATATTTACATTGATCGTCTTTTTTCTCAAGACTTCTACTCCCGATCGACCTCGGAAGACTTCCGCTGAGTGCAGGCGCAAGTGATAAAAACTACAGAAAAACCAGCAAACCCAAACCCTCTCCCTGGCAAATCATTGAACGTAGAGGCTATAGGGACGAAACGAACTGAGTAGAGGCTGTAGCGAAACGATCTGGGGGTTTGGTAGGCGTTAGCTTGTCGATACTATTAGATTCATCGGCATATCTAATGCCCCTCCTTCCCCTTCTTAATCTATCAGCATCATCTCCGCCACAAATATTATATATTTCTGAGTGCACATTACATTCACTGCACAAACTGCCATTGAAAAGTTGAAGGGGTGCACTTCCAGTTACCTTTACTCCGAGGTAAGACACCCCCTCTACCTGCATTAGAGCCAACTGAATGTATAGTGTAGACCACTACGGATAGAGCGAGAACAATGGGTAATATTTTCTTCTGTAAAAAAGGTATATACGTATAGACATCAAAGTAATAAAGAATTATTACGAGCAGGGCTTCACAGACAAGAGAGAGGAAAAATTAGAGGGGAGAATTCATTCATTAATTTCATGCTAAAGCTTCAGATTTTAATGCCAGTACTCGAAATCAATACTGGCTTGAAGAAGCTCAACCTCGAAACAAATTACCTGAGCGGAGACTTTTTCATCAAATTTTTTCAAGCCACTCTTGCTCAACAAACACTGGAGGAAATCAGGGCGACTAATCAGGTAAGGGGGCTTATTAGAGGCCAAGATACGTGGCTTCATTGTTGTGCCTAATCTCTGAGTATCTAGACGACCTTAAGAAATTCATTGTGAGGTGATCTTCCAGGGAACTTCGTTCACGAATCTCGAAGAAAAAGAAATCGTTGATAACATCGTTGCCAATACCGGCCTGATCAAGGTATGAGCTTCTTATTCTGTCTCTCATATTACTAGTAAAGACCACGAAAATCCTTACAGGTGTCGATCAGCCTTCGACTTCAAGAAGATCGAAACGCAGTCGAGAAAGCCGTTATGAGAAACGGTGACTTGAGTAAGTTCCAGAAACATATCAATTTAATGTTAACGCTGAATTGGGGCCACGTCACACTAGCGGCATATGTCACTGCCATATGTTGGTGCTGGAGGAAACGATAAATCATGTTACTGTTGCGAAAGCAACTTTGATACGAAGTGACTGAGGTCCATGATCCATTAAGAACATTTCTTTTGTCAGCTCCGCCCTCAAATGGGTTGACGTGCGGTGTCTAAGCTGATTCATCCACTGATCTTGTCAGCTGATCGCCTTTTCGCTCACAGTACGAACTCTCTCTATGTCTCTGCCTCGAAATGCTGAGGCGCAAACAAACGAAAGCTACCTCCAAAACTCTTGGACTCAGTGAAAAGTGATGCCCCATTGTTGCAGTACCTGGCAGTTCCATCCATCCTTAGACCACTTTAGTCTACACTTTCTTCTCTGAACTTCGCAGCCCTTGTGCAGCGATCACGCAGTAAGACGTTAGCGCATTGGGACCGGTGATTTTTGTACTCAGAACATCTAGTTGGGTTAAGGTGGCTGGGAAGAGTATAGAGCGCATATAGCACCGGAGGTTTAGAACTGGACTAAACTATGTAGGCGCAGCAGTGGTTGAACTAATAAAGGGGCCACATTTCTGCAAACCTCATGTGCCTATTTTTCCACTCCTGAAAACATTACTATTTACAACCACCTCCCTCTGACCGTGAGAAGTCAACACCGTGACTAACAACTGGCGTAGTAAATATCTGGTTGAGCAGCCTTCTGTTGTATGTACCCTCCTTCGCGATATGCCCTCAACGTTTCCTTTCCTGCACTTCTATATGCCATACCCTGAATCAGAAATCGTTGTAGACCAATCCAGCTACTGAATCATCTTTTTGAACCGTTCAGAACGACAGGTGCGCCGCCTGGAAGCTATGGAGAAAAGAATGAGTGCAAGCCCACGAAATTGATGACGAGGATTCCGCGTGACAAGCAGAGTCGATAGTCCACGACCACCCCTTTGCGAATCAATAGTCACAAGCTACTATTTGCTTAATATCCTGTTCTATTTGTTGAAGCTGATATGTACTTTCGCTTGTTGTTGTGGTTCTTACGAGTCGGACTTCTAGTGCCCCCAAAAGATGTGATGCTTTCGGAAGCTCATTCCCTTATTAAGGCATTTGCTTTTTTTCTTCACCAATACTCCTTATTATGATCCCGAGTGTTTTTACGATCTTATTGTTTTTGAGGTTGATCTGTTCTACGGAATCTTCTTCAATTTCTGAGTGTTTATAGAAGTAATTTAAAAAAAAATTACGAATTGGTCCTCTTACAGTTAGGCGTATTCGTGAAGTTTCATGAGATTCACACAAGTAAGAGCTTCATAGTGATATATGGAAGATCTTGGCGGAATTATCAAAAGTGATTAATTGCACTTTTCGCAACATGGGAACCACCAACAGCACCTTGATCCACCAAAACAGAAAGCAAAAGTCAGAGAGCATAGTTCCTCTCCCTTTTCGATTTTTCTTCTGCATAGAGCTCGATTGCGAAAGTGGTGTAGTGGCAAGTGTTCCACTGTCCCACACGCACAATTTAGGGTTGACACCCGGATCGATATCCCCCTAGGCCTACTTGGCCTTCCTTCCCTTCGGGAATCGGTGAATTGGCACCAGACCTGTTTGAGAGGATAAAAGCACTGGCTTGTACATCGGCTGGCCACCGCACGTCATTGAGGCCATATATGCATTCAATTCGCCACTACGATTCTGAATATAAGTCGAATGCGTGGGCGCACCCCTCAGAAGGGACTGATCAACGCCCCAAGACTTTATCCTTTTATCCCTTCCATTTTTTCTCCATACATAAAAAACAAAAGTATGGAGGAGATGCGAGGACTAGATAATGAATAGAACTGTGAAATGTCTTGCAAGTACTTACAGGTGCCAAGAACATATAAAGAGAATAAAGGTGGGGATGGGGGGGCATCACATGATCAGTGGAGGTCTTGCCCTGGAAAATGGGGGGATAGGGGCATCACATGATCAGTGGAGGTCTTGCCCTGGAAAATGGCTATCATTGGGTAATCGAT